GGGGCCGGCGGGGATGGGTAGAACCAGGGGTCCCGGTCGGCGCCTACCGAGGGTTCGGCCGAGGGGATCATGACAAGGGGTAACAGGTGCGAGTTGAAACACAGGAAGTTCCATCTCCACAGGAGGAAGAAGTTTTTTCCTGTGAGGGTGCCAGAGCCCTGGCACAGGCTGGCCAGAGAGGCTGGGGGGGCGGAGGCTCCTTCTCTGGAGATCTTCACACCCGCCTGGATGTCACCCTGTGCCCCTGCTCTGGGTGTCCCTGCTGGAGCAGGGAGCTGGACTGCATGATCCCTAGAGGTCCCTTCCAACCTCAACCATTCTGGGATTCTGTGATCAGGCCCCAACAGGGGTGCTGCTGCAGGGCCCGGTCTCCCCAGGGACAGGCCCTGCCAGGATGCCTTAAATTAACAACCAAATAAACAGGGACATAAATAAAATGACACAAACCTCTGTTTATTGGTGTCATTCTGAAACATGATCCCCTCAGCCCCAGAAAACTGTGGTCTGAGCGCAGCTTTCCAGCGGGCTCGGCCCCTGGCACCCAGGGGGCTTTTGGCAGTGGCACCAGAGAGGCCGCTGGCATCGACACGGTCCTGGCGGGTCCCCCGGGGCTCCATGTCCCCGGCCCGGCTTGCTGGCCATGGCTGCATCTGCACGGGCTGGAGCATCAGGCTCTGTGGCCACTTCTCCCACAGCAGCTCCGGCTGAGTCCCATGTCCTACGGCAGCTGTTTGCACTGTGCTTGGCCCTGCTGTAGCAAACCTCTCACACCTGCAGAGCCCAGGGACGCCAAGGTGCATCCTCAGGTGTTGGGTTCCTGTCCCTGGGCAGGAAACCTCCTCCTGCCGCCTGTGCAGACGCTGCCACTTGCTCCACAGGCTGCGAGGAGGGAGAGGAGCAGAGGAGAAGAGCTCAGGGGGCAGCAGGACGAGCGCTCTGCCCACGCGCCCTGCGCTGCCCCAGCCCTCGGCACTGCAAATGGCAGGATCTGCCGCGGGCCTGGCGGCCACCCAGGCCAGCCCTGGTCCCGCAGGGCTGCGCAGCACCGGGCAGAGCAGCTCTGCTCTCTCCCTCTGCCCTGCGCCATCCCTCAGTGGTTGCAGCCAGCAGGGCCAAAGGCATCAGGAGCCTCTTCCCCCATGGGCTCTTCCTCCTCCTCACAGTGCAGGAAGAGCTCGGCCTTCTCCCTTTGCTGCCAGAGCACAAGAGTGAGGAGCTCAATGAGGATTCCCCAGGAAGAGCAAGGACGGTGAGGAAAGGAAGAGCCGGGAGCTGGGGGAGCGCCCAGCCCCCAAACACAGGGAATCCGTGGTCTTTGCCAGCTGCCTCTCGGCCTCCTGGCACTGTGGCTCCCTCTTCCCCAGCAGCTGCTGGTCCATGAGCAGCCCCTGGCCCAGGGCCTGGCGCAGGGTGAGGGACGGAGCGTGAGGCTGCGCGCAGCTGGAGCAGAGGCTCGGGGAGGGGGGCCGACCCCCCCTACCGCCGGCGCCGCGGAGGCTGCGCTGGTCCCCATGCGAGCAGGAGCCCCACGTGGCGGCTGCGGGCGAGAGGCTGCCGGGGCGGCTCTCCTCCCTGCGGGCTCTCCAGCTGCGTGGACTGGGCTCCGGGGCCTTCCTTCATGGCCACCCCCAGCTCCGGTGGCGGCTCGGGGGGGCTGGAGGCGAGAAACCTCCCCCTGCTGAGAGCGAACGCGCCGGCGAGAGCCGCGCTCAGGGGCTCCCCGAGCGTCTCCAGCCACTCACCCCTGCACCGCTGCTCCTCCTGAGGCGACCAGCAAACGCGTGGAGCTTCTGGCGCGCTCCATTTCTGGAAGGAAAAGGTAGACGGTGAGAAGAGAGCTCCAACCCCCGGGATGGCCCTGCTGGTTGGGGCGCCCCTGACACAGCCCTACAGGACACAGAGGGCTCTGATGTGGACCCTGCTCGTGCAGCCCCTCTTTTCCCCCCAAGAGCCCCGTTGCCGGCACCGCTCCTGCTGGGCTCCAGCCCTCACCCTGCCCTACCTACCCTGAGAGATGGCTGCACCTCAAATATACTGTTCAGTTTTGGGCCTCTCACTACAAGGAAGACATGGAGGTGCTGGAGCGTGTCCGAAGGAGGGCAGTGGAGCTGGGGAAGGGCTGGAGCACAGACCTCATGAGCAGTGGCTGGGGGAGCCGGGGTTGTTTAGTCTGGAGAAGAGACCTTATCGCTCCCTACAGCTACCCGAGAGGAGGTGCT